TCCTGTTCATTTGTGTCACTTTAGCGAATGGCGAAATCTGCATCATTATTAACAGGATGCTATTTGGCCGATGGCGCCTTTTAGTTTTAAGGAGCCAGGGGTCGTACGCCGCGCCTATGCGGTAGTGTAATCGGGGGTGGGGGCCCTGAGAGCGCCCCTCTACGTCTCTGAAACAGGGGCGGTCACCGAAGTGTGTTCTACCATATTATTTCGGTGAGTGATTAATGTACACTCAAGGTTTTCATGCGGTAGTGTAGGTAAACCCGTGTCCTGATATTTAAGATCCAAGCGCAGGCATTGTTTACATTTAAATAACTCATTTTTAGAAAAGAAGGTCACGCGTCTAAGAACATATAATTGATAACGCGTTGGTGAAATCCTTCTAATATATTTCGTCAAACTTTCTTCTATCCCCGCGGCAACGCGCGGGGGGCGGGTACGCTAGTATATATATATATATATATATATATATATATATATATATATATATATATATATATATACACACACACAAACAGAAAATACGAACAGAGCATAGGATACTCATTGCTGGCCTGTTCGAATTTTGAAAAAAAAGTTATTTTTTCAATTAAAACAAATTACTACAAAACGTCATGTGTGTAAGTGCATTAGTGTGTTTTGAGAAAATCAGTTTCATTTTATCTGCTATGGGTTCTCTTAACATCTATCTGGCCAAAAGAATATAAAATATGAAATCTTTGTAGAAGTAATGGTGTCTCGTGTTATGATTATTTTTATGGGTTTTTTTGTATTTATATTATTAATTTTAAATGCATTTCCTTTTTATACAAGGTCATTCTTTAGTAAGTACTTTATGAAAAAATATTTAGTAAGAGAAGTAATTGCTTTTTAATTTGTTTAGTACACATCTATTAAAAGGAGCTTATGACTATTTAAAAAAGGGAAATAAGTTATGGAAATGGTTTGAACGTTAGCTTATCTTTGTTAAGTTTAATTGTAGAAGAGAGAGGACTTGGCTTTCACAGTGGTTTAAAAAGAAAGGGAAAAAGAATATACAAGAGCGTGGAGATGGCGTCTATAGAATAAAGATAATCAAACCGCAGCTATGGTAATCGTTTTACAGAACAAACATCAAGTCAAAAATTGCAAGAAAATTAGATTTTTTTTTAACTATAATAAATACTATTAGGGTCGGCCGTGGGCCCCTAAATGGCGTGGGCCCCCCCGCATTGCGGGGTCTGGCGGCACTGTAGTTCCGCCCCTGCTTATAATCCTAATCAGTTTATTAAAATTAACGATTCATTTTTATATTGTTAATTTACACCATGACTTAAACCCATGTAATACAGATTTAAATTTTAAAAATTCCTTATGTGCTACCTACCAGTGGCGTAGCCAGGATCGTCTCAAGGGGGGGGGGGGTTTCCAATTTTTTCCCGGGGACAAACTTTCGATTTGCACCCCCCCCCCCCTCAAATTTTCGATTTGCACCCCCCCTCATACTTTTTCTATATACCGAGGGGTCTATGGGGGGGTTATGACCCCCCTAACCCCCCCCCCCCCCCTGCCTACGCCACTGCTACCTACAGAACACATTTTTCGGAAAGCGTGAATAAAATTACAATTTTAGCTTGAAGACACGATGTCCCATGGTCAGTTTATACCTGAAGGTGATATACACCTGGGGAAAGATGGCGAATGTGGCGGGCTGAATCGTGTAATACAAGCAGCTTTACTGTTAAATATGAGTTCCCTCCTGTTTAGATAAACTACTTGCAAAATGAATGAGTTGGATCATTTGATGCACAGAGCTTCAGTTTTAAATATAAACTCTATTATATTAGATACACCACTTACAAAATTAACGAGTAGATCATTTAATACATGCAGCTTTATTCTTTTATACATGTTTTTTGTCTAGGTCAGAATACTACTAGACATAAAGCAGGCATCAGTTTATGTTTCAAATATCATCATATATATGTAAATGATATTAATAGAATCTAGATATAAATAAATGCTTTTAAGATTTACGAAATGTGATGTCTGAAAATCTATTCACGACAATCGCATTATGGAAGCATTAAAAATTCATGAAAAATTTCAAACTTTTCACCTCAGCATTTTTAAAATATGTGGGATGAGTAACAATACACAAGCCGTAGTGTACGTCACGTGACTGATGTTTTGAGCTCAGTGTTTCTTCCAGACTTTTTTCTCCGGGGGGGGGGGGCACTTGAAACTTTCGGGGGGGGGGGGGGCGGTAGACTTTCTTTGGGGGGGGGCGGCCACTGTTAAAAGTATATATTTTCTATAAAAATTATATAAATTTCATTTCGTTCGGGGGGGGGGGCGGTAAAAAATTTCAAGGGGGGGGGGGGGGCAAAGCCCCCCCCCCCCCCCCCCCCCCCCGAAGAGATGCCTGGAAGAAACTCTGTTTGAGCTAGATAAAATATTGGTAGAAACGTGCCGGATAGGTGTCCTCGATTGTTGTCTCATGTTGTTGTTGTTTGTGTTGATTATTCTGCTGTTGTCTGCTGTTGGTGTACAAATAGTTTATAGTGCTGTTGTCTCCCGGTGGGATGTTTACTGTACTATTGTGTCCTGTTGTGTGTGTGTGCTATGTATTGTGTCCTATTGTTGAATGTGTGTTGTGTATTGTGTCCTATTGTTGAATGTGTGTTGTGTATTGTGTCCTATTGTTGAATGTGTGTTGTGTATTGTGTCCTATTGTTGAATGTGTGTTGTGTATTGTGTCCTATTGTTGAATGTGTGTTGTGTATTGTGTCCTATTGTTGAATGTATGTTGTGTATTGTGTCCTATTGTTGTATGTGTGTTGTTATGTTGTTGACGCTAGATAATGTCTTTGTTATGAACTGTTTGGTGTTGTGGGTTTTCATCCGTTCAATTGTTTTTTGTTTTATTTTTATAAAATATCAAGTATTTGCAACTAAGATATCAAATTTAGAGGATCCCGAACATTGTTACACTTTTTTTTACTGTTATCAGATTACAAAACTTTTAAAGGAAAAATGACTAAAAGAAATTTTTAGAATTATAGATTTTTCAAACTTTTTCAAAATTATGTTATTTAAACAAATTTTCTTTTCCAAATTAATTATAATTAATATCTTAAATAGCTCAGTATAACGTTACAGAAACATGTATTTGAAGATCTATATTAACATGATTGTCTTGGATAGACCACTGGATCGGGGCATATGTCCATACCATCTGAGCCTTTGTGTCTTTGCTTACTCAGCAAGTTCTCGACAGGACCAATTACTTTGGTGATTCTTTCGCAGACCACTTCATTTGATACACGATCGAGCATCAAATCCCTAGAAGTCTGAGCAAACATCTCATTTCTGGGGCTTGGATCCATCTTTTGAGAGCTGAGTTGATTGTCCATGCCTCACATCCGTATAGAAGACGGACATGACTAGCGACAGCACACGTTTAGATTGGTCTGAGTTGGGATGTTAAGGTCCGTCACAATTATCTGAATCATGTCGGCAATGTATTTTATCACATAGGAGGTGGCTTGTATGAGGGAGTGGAACTAGAATATAACCCCAACCTTAAACAAGCTTTGGAAACATATAAAGTAGTTCCTGCCAAATGTAATCAAAACCTGCTTTATTTGCAATACTAAAAACATATTTCAATATATTAACTATAAGTTGTTGTGGTCATAATAGTTCTCAATATATATATATATATATATATATATATATATATATATATATATATATAACAAGTCCCTCTCTATCCCTCTTGATGTCAGAGGTGTGATACGCCTATGCTGTCAGGTATCAGAATAGTATTGTGTTGGTGCATATCCAGACGAGAGAGTTTATCAAGCAAACTTTAATACAATATACGGTACTTCATAAACAAACACACCAGGCCGTGCTGAAGTTTATTTTTTCTAAAATCTGTACTCTTTCATAACTTCTTTCCTATCCAACTATATCTTTAAACCTATTCTTAGGCTCCCATCCCACCATGTCCCTAAACCTAGTTTTAGACCAGAATTTTCCGTGTCATGTAATATCCCTGTGATAACGTCAAAACATACACAGAAAAACGACTGCCTAACCCTAGTTTGTGATCACTACCGACAGAAAAAACAGATGTGTATGTGTGGTGTGTACATCACGTGTCCTGTGTAGTGTGTACATCACGTGTCCTGTGTAGTGTGGATCACGTGTCCTGTATGCTGTGTACATCACGTGTCCTGTGTAGTGTGGATCACGTGTCCTGTGTAGTGTGTACATCACGTGTCCTGTGTAGCGGGGATCACGTGTCCTGAATGCTGTGTACATCACGTGTCCTGTGTAGTGTGGATCACGTGTCCTGTGTGGTGTGTACATCACGTGTCCTGTGTAGCGGGGATCACGTGTCCTGTGTAGTGTGTACATCACGTGTCCTGTGTGGTGTGTACATCACGTGTCCTGTGTAGCGGGGATCACGTGTCCTGTGTAGCGGGGATCACGTGTCCTGCGTGGTGTGTACATAACGTGTTCTGTGTAGCGGGGATCACGTGTCCTGTGTAGCGGGGATCACGTGTCCTGTGTGGTGTGTACATCACGTGTCCTGTGTAGCGGGGATCACGTGTCCTGTGTAGCGGGGATTACGTGTCCTGTGTGGTGTGTACATCACGTGTCCTGTGTGGTGTACAGCACGTGTCCTGTGTAGCGGGGATCACGTGTCCTGTGTAGCGGGGATCACGTGTCCTGTGTGGTGTGTACATCACGTGTGCTGTGTGGTGTACATCACGTGACCTGTGTAGCGGGGATCACGTGTCCTGTGTGGTGTGTACATCACGTGTCCTGTGTGGTGTACATCACGTGACCTGTGTAGCGGGGATCACGTGTCCTGTGTGGTGTGTACATCACGTGTCCTGTGTGGTGTACAGCACGTGTCCTGTGTAGCGGGGATCACGTGTCCTGTGTAGCGGGGATCACGTGTCCTGTGTGGTGTGGATCACGTGACCTGTGTAGCGGGGATCACGTGTCCTGTGTAGCGGGGATCACGTGTCCTGTGTAGCGGGGACGATGACCAGCACTGCCAGGGTGGAGGACACGGTGGCCACGAGAAAGAACACAAAGAGGATGCGGTCCACGCTCTGGGCCAGCCGCCTCCAGTCCTGAATGTCTTCGTACTCCCTCTCCTCCACCTCGTGCCGCTCTAGAAGTTTCGTCAACGACAGCAACGCTTCCTCGTACGTCGCCCGTGGCTTTTGCCTCGGCCGCCGGTGGGGGTGCAGCTCCGGTTTGGGGAGCTCGGCGCCCGGGGTGTGTGTTTGCGGTTTCCTCGGACTGTTTGTGCACTGTGACGTAGTGTTAGCACCGACCCCTAGCGTATCGTTTGTTTTAGGTTTCTGATTGGATGCTGTTGTGTTGCGATCCTGATTGGCTGTTGAATTATGACGATCCTGACTGGCTGTTGAAGTATGACGATTCTGATTAGCTGTTGAATTATGACGATTCTGATTGGCTGTCGCGGATGAAAAGTTACTTTGAATTTCAGACTCCTGATCAGCTAGAGTACTCGGCGGGTTGTCATTAGCATTGGTTGCCTGATGGTACTCCGGGTAATCCAGCAACCCGTTCTCAAGCTGGAGCTCGTCTCTAAGCTCCTGAGCTAAATTATCCAGCGTCAGCTTCAGGGACATGTTTTTCACCATGCAGTGCGTGTCCATCCCGCCGATGCCCGAATAATGCAGATGTCCGTGCCGGTCGTTAGGGCGACGGAATGACCGGCGCTTGACCTCGGAGGAGCCCAGGAAGAATTTCTTGAGCCAGGTCGGCACCGAGTGCTTGTGGGGTCCCCTGTGGTGAAGGTTGAGGACAAACACCGTCATGATGACCGAGACTGAGGTCAAGGCCATCACAATCGTCAGGTAAATGCCTGAGGAAAGATTTAAAAAAGTTATGTTTACCGTATATAAAGAATCAACTATATATATATATATATATATATATATATATATATATATATATATATATATATATACACATATAGGCCATATATATATACATATATATATATACATATACATATATATACATATATATACATATATATAAATATATATATATATATATATATATATATATATATATATATATATATATATATATATATATATATATATATATATATATATATATAATAAGCATTCAAGTCAGCATAAAATAGATGTGGAACGTCCTGTATCTTGGTGTCCCAATTCCTTGAACAATTCCAATGTCGTGACCACAGGATAAAGTACCCGCCCCAGATGGTCAGCATAATTAGATAAATCACACTCTCGTGGACATCCGGGTACTTCACGTTATGTCCAGACGGTGGTGACCACTTGCGTCCAATTCAATAGATAAAAGTGTAGAGGACGTGGGCAATGAGTCCTCACTTGACCCTAATTGCTGGCTGCCAGTGTAGTTTGGTGAGAAAGTATACAGTAAGGTAATGTAGAGAGGACTGCGTTAGTGTCGTTTACAAGATGTTGATACAAGTTGATAGATATTTATCTTTTAAAGATGAGGGTTATAGCTTTCATACGATAAAGATTTGTCGTGTTTTTTTTTTTTGAGATAGTAAAGTGTAACACAATTGACTATCATTGCTAACGATCAGTGAGAGTTTATGAAGGAAAAAAAACACAATTCACATTGTATCGTATAGCCTGTTCTTGGTTAAGGGGTGGGGGGGGGGGGGGCTGAGTTCTTCTCCCATTTCCCCTCTCCCCTTCTCATCACCTCCTCCTCATCACCCCCCCCCCCCCCCCCCGGAAAAAATACCTGAAAGAAACTGCAAACTTTGCGCTAATCTATGAACAAAAAATTTAAAATAAATAAACTAACATACTCATTTTTTTAACATGGATTCCACCGGCGCCAATGTTCACAAATATAGGGGTATTATGTTGAGCCGTCACCAGACAGACACACAAACAAACAAACAAACAATAAAAAAGGCCAGAATACATTACGCTCCATGAAAACGTGAGCTGACTTGATATCGTTCAATAGCTCGTTAGTGCTGGGGGGGGGGGGGGGGGGTTGAGAGCACACACAAAATGGCCAGTCTCTATAGTTTCAGAAGGGTTTGGTTTATGTTTATAAACAATAGTCTAGGTATGTGCTCTGTGAGACAGGAATAAACATGTGATTTGTTATTCAGGAGTCAGTATGTGATCTGTCATTCAGGAGTCATTATGTGATCTGTCATGCAGGAGTCATTATGTGATCTGTCATGCAGGAGTCAGTATGTGATCTGTCATGCAGGAGTCAGTATGAGACCTGTCATGCAGGAGTCAGTATGTGATTTCTGATACAAATTTCTCTTATTGTGGGCTCCTATTGTGGGCTCCTATAGATTAGTCAGTGGTCAAAAGGTTTGACACACAAACACATTTATTTGATTTACGAATTTATGTATGTCCGTGTATCCGTGTATCTGTGTTTGTGTGTGTGTATCTCGGTGTTTATATTTCTATATGTGTCTGTGTATAGATATCTGTGTATGTATGTCGTTGTATATATTTCTCTATATGTGTCTGTGTATAGATATATGTGTATGTAAGTATGTCGGTGTATATATTTCGTTGTTAGTGTCTGTGTATAGATATATGTGTATGTATGTCAGTGTATATATTTCTCTATATGTGTCTGTGTATAGATATATGTGCATGTATGTATGTCGGTGTATATATTTCTCTATATGTGTCTGTGTATAGATATATGTGCATGTATGTATGTCGGTGTATATATTTCTCTATATGTGTCTGTATATGGATATCTGTGTATGTGTCTATATTTCTGTGTATAGATATATGTGTATGTAAGTATGTCGGTGTATATATTTCTTTGTTAGTGTCTGTGTATAGATATATGTGTATGTATGTCAGTGTATATATTTCTCTATGTGTCTGTGTATAGATATATGTGCATGCATCTATGTCGGTGTATATATTTCTCTATATGTGTCTGTATATGGATATCTGTGCATGTGTCTTTGTTTGTTTGTGTGAGTTTGTGCTTGAATGAAACGGGAAGAGAAAACACACATTTTAAAGTGCATTTTAAAAAAAAACCGAACACGATAAAAAATAATATATAACGTGAACTAGAACTAAAAATGCAGCCAGGGTATTTGCAACGCTACATCAACGTATTTGACAGCCAATATCTTGTCATAACGAAGGGAGGTAACTGCCCAACACGTAAAAAACAGATCCATTCTTCTCTGTTTCTACATCATGTATATTTCCGTCCTTTCTCGAAATATTTCCATACTGGAATTGGTTTCAGTTTAGCAAATAACTCTTCAATAGTTTCAATTTGTCTTCCGTTGCTTCAGGGGATCCCAAATAAAAAACACCAGCATCATATTGTTTTCACGCTACAAACCTGAGCAACAAGTTAATTGAGTCAGAACTAAAAGAAAATCCTGAATTTGTTTCTATAAATAGACGGCGTGAAAACAAATGAGCACTCTTTGATGATGTGACATTTGTAGCAATATGAAGAGACCAGCCGACAGTCACTATGTAAAAAAAAGGGTGTCACTTTTAGAAATGTTGAACCCTTAAACAAAACTTTTTTAATGTACTCATAGTTCAGTTTTGAGGTTTTGGTTTCTATTTTGTTTCATCATTAACAACTCACCCCAAGCAGTGTTTCTTCCAGACTTTTGTCTCCGGGGGGGGGGGGGGGGGCACTTGAAATTTTCGGGGGGGGGGCGGTAAACTTTCTTCAAGGGGGGGGGGGCGGACACTGTTAAAAGTATATATTTTCTATATAAATTATATGAATTTCGTTTCGTTCGGGGGGGGGGGGGCGGTAAAAAAATTTCGGGGGGGGGGGGGGGGGGGGGCTTATGCCTGGAAGAAACCCTGACCCCAAGCAGTTTAAAAATAGTTTTGGAGTTTTCTTTTCTTATATTCAAATATCAGCATTTTTAAACTGGACACTTTTGTATACTAAATAAAAAAATCTATTTTCACACGTCGCCAAATATTTGTTTTCTTTTCGACCTGTCAGTGGGTATGTTGAGTAAAGTTCTTCTGATCCTCGAGAGCTGTCTCTAAGTGTCTATAAGGGCTGTGTGGTTAACACTATAACCATCTGTCTGAGACTGTCAAATACAAGTTTCCAGTTAAAGACTCCAATCATTCGTATAGTGAGGGAGGTGGGGGGGGGGGGTCGATCTGACACGGCTGAAGGTGTCTCTCCCGTGTACGGAAATCTTCAACTAGACAACACCACTCCAAGCACAAGCCTCTAAGTGAGATGCTACACTACATACTTTTTAATTCTAGGATAGCGTGGCTCGATGTATTCGATTAATTTGATAATTTTCTTACCAAGATTTATGGATGCTTCAGGCTCTTTGAACTATTAAGTCATTCAAATTCTTAAAATCAGAATGGAGGTACTTTCCTAGCGTTAGTTTACATTTAGTATTGTTTCTAGCCAATGGTAGTGATTCTTACATCGTAAGTTTACATTTTGTATTGTTTCTAGCCAATGGTAGTGATTCTTATTTAAGTTTTCGAGAGCAGAGACAGATAACACTATTCTTTTCCCCGAAACAGTAAGCTAATCAACAAATTGGCGGCCAACATAAATCAGTCATTCTGACGTACCTGCAGTTATTATATATATATATATATATATATATATATATATATATATATATATATATATATATATATATATATATATATATATATATATATATATATATATATAATCATTATATTGCGATGTTAAAGAAGTTTTTTTTTTACATTAAAAGTTTCTGCGGAAGTTACTTCCCATTCTTCTAATTAAATATAGTCAGGAACATTAACTTCTAACAACATTTAAAAATTTTAAATACAGAATAATTGAATACGAACTTAAGTAAAATGGAATTTGTAATTCAAATTATATAAAGTATAATTATGAAAAATAATTACTCTTACAATGGCTACAAATTAAACTATGTTTAATTAGTACCTTGTTATAGTTTGAATACGAAAACTTACAGCAAAATTAATAATACATTTGTATATAAATGAATGCCTTTTTCAAAAGTTACTGATGTGGCCTTTTTTAAATTGTATGTAGTTTTTTTTTTAAATCGATTTAATAGAAATATATCACGGAAATCTTTCATCAACAAACACCGACAGTGTAGCTCAAAGCATGACTACATATTGTTTAAAAAGAACAATTTTAGAATCTTTATCTGGCAACTCAGCTGTTGGAAAAATGGTATACTCAGCGGATTGTGTGTGTATGAACCTGATAATTGTCGCATGAAATAAGATTAAAATATTCGCGCCTGTAAGAAGTATACTAATGATGACAAATAATTTTGGTGTGTTTTTTAATGAATATAACTGTTTCATTTTGTTAAGTAATAAAAGTTATATTAATAAGATTATAATAATAAAACTAATTTTAAATAAACCGGGAGTGATCTCCCCTAAACTTTCTCAAATAGTCATAACGAGCCTATCCGCGGCGTATCATACGCCGCTATTTAGTTGTTTTATCTTCTTTTTTTTTCAGAAATTCATAATTTGTGAATTCGACAGTACCAATGCTGCCACTGAAAATATTTGCTTTAAAACACTAAAACCCTCCTTTCCCCCAACACCTACACTACCCAACCCCACACCACCACCACCACCCACACCCCTACCCCCCACCCCACCTCACCCCCGTGAAAGCAGCCCCCTCTTAGTTACCTCCCTTAAGTTTAAAATCGTTTCAAACGAAATTATCTGCCCCTAATAGCCGTCACTAAACCCGGCTCTACGATTGTAAACATTGAGCGTGAACCACAGCTCACCAGACCATGTGGGGGTGGGGATGGTAGAGAGGAAGAGCGGGGGCTGCTAGGCGCGCTTACAG